TAAAATCACATTCGTATTCAGATTTCACGAAATACAACACAAATAAACTTTTTTAAATGGGATACCCTCTATGTTATTAAATTTCTGGGATACATTTTTTTTCTCTAATTTCAAAAATGTATAATATTATCTAATACCGACTATTCTCGAGTAATTTAACGTTGATAATGTAAATATGAAAAAGTTAACATTATTAAAGTAAAAGCTATGAAAATCACAACTATTATGTTTGATAATAAAATAATCCAAATAGATAGTTTACAGTGAGGAAGAAAAAGTGTAAATATTTATCTAAACTATAAGATATTTGATGTTTAATTAACCATTCCGAAAATTGAATAAAATATATATCTATGCTATCCCTATTAAAAAATATTGTTCATGTTGTATCCCGTGAAAGATGCACGCCACTGATATGGTCATTGTATTATTGATGACATTTTAACAAAATTCGGTCAATGTAAATATTATACAATAATAATTATGGCATAAAGGGTGGGTAATTTATAATGAATAACCCTGTAGGTACCAAGGGCGGCTCCAGAGGTGGCCTATGGGGACCACTTTTTTACGTAGATTAAAGAAAAATGTAATTTCGTGTTTTCTTGATGCAGACATTTTGCGACACACTGTATATTCAAATCCAAAATGATGTAATTTTCTTTTAACACATACCTATTACAAATTTATTAGCAAAAGTTAAATACTTGTTATTTTCGATATATTTCTCCTTTAGACACACACAGGGCCGACGAGAGGGGGGGTAGCCGGGACTAATTCCTGGGGCCCGGGCTCAAGTGGGGGCCCGACAGCTTTAGTTGAGGACGTTATTTTATTTTTTTAGAAGTTCGCCACAAGAGCAGAAGAGGGAGGACCTTTTTTAGAGATTTCACTAAAAACGAGAAGTTTTTGCTTCAGGACCTTTTTTTAGAGATTTCATTAAAGAGAAGAAGAAAGAAGAATTTTTTGCTTGAAGACCCATTTTTTTGTGACCTTGAAAGGGCTTAATGTTTTGTTGTCGCGGGGCCCGACCTGTAAAATTGTCCCGAGGCCCGACCTGACTCTCGGTGGCCCTGGACACACACATTTTTAGTTTTATTGTCTTAAGATTTTAAAAAAATTAGCGGACCTTATACTATTTTATTACAATTTGATGATCCCCAGTTGCCATCGCACGAAGACGAAATTTGAGTATAAAGATTTAGATGTCATTAACATAAAATTAATGTTTGAAATTAATTTATGAGTTTTACCAATTTAGAAAATAAACTTAATAAAAAAAACGTGTCTGCTCGTGGGTTTGAACTCTGAACCCCTCGATTCATATGCGAGGACTCGTAAGTTTCCGTATTGAAAAAGTATTACTTTTCAACGCTGATAATCAGATTGGTTTTAGTTTCATTAAAAATCTCAATTTATTTCTAAATATAGACGAATATCTTGTGGAACTCTATTATTTACTGATTCTTCAAAAGAATCACTAAGTTTTAATTATATTTAGAGCCGATCTTTTTACGTCTGAGTAAAGTTACATGTAGGTTTACTTGACAGATTAACATACAATACCCCTTAATTAATTTGACAGAATTATCGCTCATAAAGTTCTAACATCTGACGTAGAGGGCGTATCTGACCCTCAGAGTAAGTAAGTAGTACTGACCAGTAAATAAAATCGTTAGTTCAATTATTGTACCAATAGGGGCGATTGCCTCCAATAACTTTTACATGGCGATTATCCTACTATAGTTCCTTATACAATGATACCATTGCAGCAACTCATTTGAAGTTCTACTTCTCATGTTTTCTGCCTGAAACTCGACGTTTTTTTTTATAAATTCGAATAAAAACTACTATTTTTCAGAGCTCTATGCATTTTATTTCGTAGCTAGTTAAATAACATATAAATACCCTCCAGTAAATGTAAAAAGTGGGTTTAATTTATAAATCTTATATTTGATAGCCGTTTACAAAATATTTTAATAAAAAAAAACAATACTTACGTTAAAAAAAATAAATAAAAAATATGTAAAAATATATGCACCTACCTAGTAACCTAGGTATAATTTTAGGAATGGTTTTTTAATGAAATGTATTCCCCTTTAAAAAAAGTAACCTCTTAAATATGAACTAATGGTAAAAATCATATCACGTGTACATACGAAAATTTAATAATGAATTATTTCTGATGTTTTTAAAGACAAAAATTTTAGGGGACAATGAACAATGTATCTAATACTGCTCCATCGGGTTGGTTGATTTTGAAAGAAAGTAATTTTCTTGATATCGCTTTCTATAAAAACTAGTTGCTTACGTCATGAAATATTTGAGATATTTTAAGTTAAAAGTTTCAGATATCAAAAATTATAAACTTCGAAAAATCATAAGTTACTCATGAAAATATTTAAAACAAGATTTATTTACATTTTAGTTAAATGAAATGCTCAAAATGTTCACCGTTTACATTTAAACAAAAGTAAAATCTATTTTCAAAAGCATTTCTAACATTCCTCTGTTATTCTATTACGTAAATCAGCTATTGATTGTGGCGGTGTCTTATAAACAGACTTCAAGTGTCCTCACAAAAATAAGTCTTGGGCAGTCAAATAGGGGGAACGAGCTGGCCATTCAATAGTTTTAAACAGTAATGTGGCCTAGCTCCTTCTATTGGACGTATAACTCTTCTATTTCAGTAAGTTTTCTTACCTACATGATAAGAGTGTATTAGCTCTTCAAAAAACTGTAGGAATTTAGGTCCAGTTGGATATTCCTGGAATAATATTATGCCAATTATTAAGAATTCCAGCCCATACATTAATTTTTTGGGCCTTCAAGGTACAAGTGAAGATTTACTTCCCTTTAATATCAACCGTTGTGTCTATTCACAAGACCATTTAAGTAAAAGCAACATTCATCATTGAAACATTTCTCTTTTTCCGAATCATATCTCTCATTATTTCACAAAATTCGACGCTTCTGTCGAAATCACTCAACTCTTGGCGAAGTTGAATTTTATAAGGGTGGATTTCGTTTAATTTTATGGTAGCTTTATTTTGCTCTCCCGAAATATCGAATAATTTTCTCAAAGAAAGCTAAATTAATGTGCCCAAAAATTTCTAGCTGCTTAGTTTCATCTCTTAAATAATTCATATTAAATTTTTGTGTGGCATTTGACCAAAACAGTGCAGTTTTGGATTATATTCTTTTTTATTTGGTTTGGTTAATGAACTTTGAAATTTAAAAATATGACTTTTTACCTTACATGACCGTGTTTTGAAAACTAATATAACTATCGACTTGTTTTTTTTAAATGAAATACCTATATATCATACTTTTTACTAAATAATTTTTATTGTTTTTTATTTATATTAATTACTACTCATTTTTTTGTAGATTAGTATAAAACATCAAAAATAAATCGGCATTAATTAATTCTTTATTATTCTGCATAAACCCACCCTGGGTCATTATACTTTAAACTAAATATAATACACTCTGCGCCATCTAACCTTCGTAGTTCATACTAATGGTTAATAAAATGGCTAGTTAGCCACAGATACAATGGCTACAGTGACCTAGAAGTCACTGTATAGTTAACTAGCCGTTACTACTACAGGTATCTCTATTCTGTTCGCACTGCTTAAGAATATTCTGATAAGATGGCTCGGCTTATACGTTTGAAAATTCTGTCTGTACATAAAGATTTATACATACAATTTCCTAGTTAGTACAATAGATGTCACCAGAAATAGTGTCCATGGAATTTTGTTCCTGTAATGGAAAATGGAAAAAATTTTCAAAGAAAAAAAATAGTTCGGTAACTAATAAATCTTTGTTTTGTAAACAATTTAATATTAGCAAAAAGTAAAACATTATTAGTAGATTTTTTTTCTATTTTATATAATCTTAGTAAATTAATGATACGAGTTTATTACATTTACATGCCAACTATATCTATTTTTAATTTTTTTTATATATGTAGGTGTAAATAGCATGTTTGGAAGCAGAGAGAATCAATGTCGCCTATAATCTTACAAACTGTAGGTATACAGGAAGAAGGAATGTGCCGGAAATCGATAAATCCAGGAATTGCTATTTCCTGTAATCGTTGCACATGTAAAATATGTTGCCTAACGACATCTTTTAGACCAGTATCGAACCTAATACGGTTTATATAAACTTTACGGCAAAATTATTTTCAAGACCGTGTGGCCTAATGGATAAGGCGTCGGACTTCGGATCCGAAGATTGCAGGTTCGAGTCCTGTCACGGTCGATACAACTTTTTTTTATTTTTTATAAAAAAATAGCATATTTTACATATTTTAGATTTCAAATTTTTTTATCTAATTGATTTTTATTAAATAATAATTATTATAAATTCTGTTGAGATACATAAAATGCTGCTCAAAGTCGAAGTTGAAAATGAAATATTTATTTAGTACCTACTATAATTATTTTCCCTGTAATAGGACTAAATATTTTTCAAATTTGATTCTTGATTATTGATTTGTATGTGAAGCGAACGTTTTATGAAGAAACATTTTTTGTAAAATAAGTAGGTAGGTACCTAAATAAATTCCTATTTTTTGTTGCCAACTTTTTCAGGCATAGGTATCTAAATATCTACTACTACCTATCTAGGTATGATGTTTTAATGAATCAGTAGGTAAGTAGGTACCTATATATTTAGATATTTATAATTCTAAAAAGATAATTTTTATTTTAAGTAGGTAGGTATCATTTGGTGTGGTTTTCTCTGACTCCTGGCAACATCTGGTTTTTGCCAGAGTTTTTGCCAAAGTACCTAGGTACGACCTAATCTTCATTACGTACGACCTTGGCTCATGTGACTATATCACGGTGTAGCATAAATAATAAGTAGGCACTAGGCAGTAGGTATAGTAATGATTGTGTAACACATGAGCTAATTTTGTATATTGTGTTGCCTACGTATAGAATATAGAAACATTAAATTATTATTTATTAATTAAACAGTGGAAGACGTAATCAATACATTCGGTTTATAAATAATGAAAAACGTAAAAAAAGAGTCTTTGACATAACCCATAACCCAACTTTTTTGACACAAATTGTCAATTTATTTAAATTTTGGTGGTTTAATTAAATTTTGAAATGGTTACTTAATTGTGGGACAAGCCATTTTTTGGGTAAGTAAAAATTGAAAACCTATAATTTATCATGTATCTGACTTTCATGATTTTTCTATATTTTATTATTAAATTTGGTTAGGTAGGTACCTACCTAGTAAAGTCTTTGTTTATAATACACCGTCACCAAATATGGATTTAAAACACAAATTATAATGTTATTGTTATGCTAGGTATTTATTTTATTAAGTTTACATAACTACGTCTTTTATTCTTTAACATAATAAAAATAAAAATACAGGTTATAGTTTTTATAGGCCAGGAAATATAGGTACTTAGATTTAGGTGAAAAATTAAAATGAAGCTACAAATTTATATGTTGGTCCAATTTGATGCCCTGAGGCAGTGTCAGATTAGGACCTCCAGTTCCTATCGGTCTAGGAGGGAGAAGGGTCCACCTTTTTCATGGTTCGATTTGATTGAAGAGCAAAAAAAAAGGTCCACTCACGTATTACGGGGTTTCCTTGTTTGTTCTTCTGGGCCCGTAGCCTGACCTAGGACCCACTTAGTGAACGAGGGCCCACTGTCTTACAAACTTATAGGTATTGTCATAGTTTTATATACAGTGTCTGCCACTGAACGTTTTTCAATACTTTTTGCTCAGGTGAATATGAAAACTACAGAGAGTTAGCATTAGGGCGAACAGGAAACGAATAATATCATTGTCGCCAGTTTATACGGTCCGACCGCATTGTAACGTTGGCTGGGTCGTATAAACTGGCATCACTGTTATTATTAATTTTCTGCTTTAGTTATCTATAATAACAAATTTATGCTAGTGTGACACTACATAGACACTTATACTATACTACCAATTAATCTTTAATTTACTGTAAGATGCTACTTACTGATGATGTCATCTTACCCAATAATGACATATGTTACCCAATAATTACATGTTACCCAATAATGACAACTTTTCACCCAATAATGACACCTTAATCAAAATAACTCAATAATTTCATTTACCAAACTGTCATAATATTACGTACAATAAGTTGATAACAACTTTGTTGTAAAAAAAACAACTTCTCTTATATTTATTGTATTTTATTTCAAACAGTTTGTATATTTTTTAAGTAATCATTATTATTATAAAATATTGTGTGATGAATTGGAAAATTCAAGTTTTATTTTACCAAATATTTTGAACTAGCTGATAACATTGATAACAAATGTAAAATATCAAAGTAATTTCGAGTATCACACTTTCTCTCTTACAAGCGATAACCCTGATTGTATCTGTTATAATTTCCCAAATTAGATCTAAAATTCTATTCTCAGCGCTTAAGAACGATTCATCCGTGATTTATTTGCACACGAATGCGTACTAATACGTCTCATAGAACATAATACATATCGCATCCGTATTTGGTGAGCCTGTAAACCTTTTTCTCTAAAAAATTAAGATTTTCGAAATTTGAGCTATCGGAATATTTAAATATACCATGTCGTGTCATAAACAGCTGTGAATAGCTCAAGTAGTTGCCCAAATATTTAATTTCAAAATTATTAGATTCTGTAGTAAAAATTAACCCAAGTCGGAGTCAAAATCCTACTCTGCCTTTCTCTCTCTCTCTCTATCTGTAAAGTGTGGAATGTGGGTTACCCCCACGGCACTTTTAGGCCTCACTAGGCCCACTGTGCTAAGATGATAGGCACCTCCTAGCTCGTGAGCCAGCCTACAGATTTAATGTAGTTGACAACGTCGCCAAAAGGTGCTTCTCTTACATCGGCCGGTGTTAGCCGATACTCGCCGAACACAAATCTTCTAATAAATGAGAGCGTGGAGCAATCGTAAAAGATCTTCTCGATGGTCTCATCTTCTTGTTCGCACCCTCTGCTTCCGTACTCGGCAATGACCGGTCAGAATACCTGTGACTAGGCGCAGATTCTGTCTAGTCATAGTCAAGTATTTGTTTGCTGCAGTGTTGTCAGGATAACTTAAAGGCAACTCTGCAGTTTCATGTTTCATCCCATATTTCCTTGAATTTCACAAGGAAATGTTTTTTTAATTAGGTCTGTCACCGAGTTTGTTAGGCCAATAGAAGGGCCAGAAAAGTATTTGGTTGGCTGCTTTCTTGGCCAGTGAATCAGCAAGACGGTTACCTTTCGATGTGGCGTCACCTTTAATCCATCTTAAGGTGACCATATTCTTGATAGATACTTCGGCCAAAGCTTCGTGACATTCTAGCACTAACCCTGGTCTGTTCAGGGTGAGTAGTGCTTGATCTGCTATCTGTATAGATGAGCATGTTCCTTCCAATGATATTGTTTCTGGTAATTTATTTTGCTGCTCTGAGAATTCCCGTGAGCTCTGTTTGAACTACACTGGCACTATTGCTTACAGCCCATTTTATGTTTAGTTTTAAGGATCTGGAGTATATTCCTCATCCTGAGCCTTCTTTTGTTTTAGAACCGTCGGTGTAGATATGAATCATACCTTCTCTTCCATTTCTTCTGTTATAACTTTATATGGCTTATGGAAGATATATATTTCGGTGACATGGAGTCCATGTTCGCTTGAAGCAGTTGGCGTGTCGAGCGCTTCCTGCCAAAAGCAACATCTTGCCTCACCAGATCCTACATCAGGTTATATTCCAACCATGCGGAGGCGTGTCATTGTCATTAGAGCAACCTCCTTGATGTAAATATCAAGGGGAGTTAGACTAAGAATGACTTCCATGGCTCAGGTCGGTGTTGTTTTCACGGCGCCTGTTATGTTGAGATATGTTCTTCTTTGAATTTGTTCTAATTTACGGATAGCTGTCAATTTTTGGGTTTTCGGTACCTAAACAACTGAACAGTTTAATGTTAACTTGATGTCAAAGGTGAGACCTAGGTACTTTACCTCTGTTGCAAAATTTAGTTTTGTGTTTAGGAGTTCTGGAGATTTTAATTCCATTTTTATCATTTTCCTTGTGAAAAGGACAATTTCTGTCTTCATATACAGTGAATAGTCCTTGCACCACTGTTCTATAATTTTGAGAGCTACTTGCATTCTTTCGCAAAGTATGTTCTTAAAATTCCCTGTTTGCACAATGACCAGATCATCTGCATATGCCATTGTGTAGTGTCTGTCATATTGAGGCTGCTAATGAGGGTGTCGAGGACCATGTTCCACAGTAGAGGTGGGCATCCCCTCGCTACCAAGCCTCTTTTATTCACATTTTATGTACTTATGTTTACTGCTCGCTTTAAGATCATGTTATGTATCCACCCACTAACCATCTGTGGAACATTTCTATTGGTTAGTGAGTGTATTATCTTTGAGAAGGTAATTTTATCAAAATCACCTTCTATGTCTATGAAAACACCCAAAGCGGACTTATTGTCTAGGGATCTCTCTATCCGGCCAGCAACTAGATGAAGGTCTGAATCAGTAGATCTGCCTGGGGTGTATGCCTGTTGGTTTGGGTGTAGTGGTGTTGTTATAATCACCGCTTCCCTTATGTACCTTTCGCATAGCCTTTCCAATGTCTTTATGAAAAACGTTGTCAGACTAATTGGTCGGTATGTTGTTGGGACAGTGTAATCCATCCATCCTTCCAGGTTTGGGTATGAATACAACTTTTACCTCTCTCTATTTTTTGGGGATATACCTTAGAGCCAACGAGGATCTGAATATACCCACCAGGTGCGGTGTAAGTTCTTCCAGACCCCACTGGAGTAGGTCTGGATAGATATTGTCAGGTCCTGGCGATTAAAATGGAGATAAGCTGGATATTGCCCATCTAATTTTTCATCGTCTACAATATGTTAGGAAGTTTGCCAATCATAGACAGATGGGTTGTATTCTTCCTATGTCCAGTCGACCACGTCTGAGATGACTGAATCAGGGAAGTGTGTTGACAGCAGAAGTTTGATGCGTGCCATCCTCTTTGATTAGCGCACCAATGCTTCGGTGAGGATCTTTTGAGAGAGCGTTTTGAAGCCTTGCTGCCTGCGGGAAATCTTCGATTTCTTAGCAGTATGATCTCCATGCATTTCTCTGTTTTTGTTTGACGATTTTTTGTATTCTCTGAGGTGAGATTTGTAAGTATCCCAAACCTCTTTGAGTTTTGTGGTTCTTGCCTTATTTAAGTATTGCCTAGTCATCTTCCTGAGGTGATCCAACTTATGACATCACCATGCGGTAGTCGTCTGTTCGTGTTGGACCGGCCCAAGAGGACAGGATTTCTTATAGGCATTGTTTATTGTGCTTTGGTGTTCGAGTACTTCACCAAAGCATTGTTATTGTTTGGTGTTTCGGCCTCCATCTCTCTCAGAGCCTCTTGGAAAAGGTGGGCATAGGTTGCCCTGTCCGTCTTCCTAGGGTTCCGATATAGCGTGGAGGTCGGCAACAGCAAATTTATTTTGAATGTTAACCAGCGGTGGTCTGACATCGAAATGTTATCAGACACTTGCCAGTTTAGAATTGATTTACAGATACCAGTTATGGATAAAGTGATAGCTATTAGTGTTTGACTGCGAGAGTTTAAAAATGTTGCAATATTTAAGAGTTAAGGGATGTTAAACAACATTGAAAAATTATAATTTATTGTTTATTTAAAACCTTTCAATTTTCTGATGTCTACTATTTCCAGTATTACTGTTATTATTACAAGAAAAAAGGTTTTTTTCTTCTTATTGTACAGCTATCCATTTATTTCTGTGATTTAATTTCCATTTTGCTCCTGAAAATTTATATAATTTACAATGTTTTTTCTGCTAGTATTTTTACAATTTACACAGCAACCGCGGTCGCTTTTTGTTTTGTTTTTACCTACTTTAAAAAAAGAAAGTAAAATGAATAGGTACGTGTAAGGTATGGATATGAAATAAATATATTCAACCTATAATATTGGTCAACTGTATTAGCTTGAATATTATTTCTATTATTGTCTGTAATTCGTGGCATTTAGATTTCTACACCTGTCATGTTTACCTTTTTCTTCTATTTCCTTAAACAATTCAATAAATTAAAGGCTACCTAACATTTTGCCTTCCGTTTATTTTTA